TGTGGGCCACCAGTCACGATAACATCAGTAACAGGTCAGTTTGAAATGAAAGACACAATTCAGTTACATTTTAGGGTCTTTGTTTTTATCCTTGTGGTATCTAAAATGGTATCGAGTATCGAGTATTTTCCTGAGTATCGGTATCCAGTTGAAAATTTTTTAGTATCGTGACAACCCTAGTCTGTAGGACTCAGAATGAGTCTGTAGGACCCAGAATGGGTCTAAAGACCCAGAAAGAGTCTGTAGGACCCAGAATGAGTCTGTAGGACCCAGAAAGAGTCTGTAGGACCCAGAATGAGTCTAAAGACCCAGAATGAGTCTGTAGGACCCAGAATGAGTCTAAAGACCCAGAATGAGCCTGTAGGACCCAGAATGAGTCTGTAGGACCCAGAATGAGTCTAAAGAACCAGAAAGAGTCTGTAGGACCCAGAATGAGCCTGTAGGACCCAGAATGAGTCTAAAGACCCAGAATGAGTCTCTAGGACCCAGAATGAGTCTGTATGACCCGGAATGGATCTTTAGGACCCAGAATGAGTCTAAAGACCCAGAATGAGTCTGTAGGACCCAGAATGAGTCTGTAGGACCCAGAAAGAGTCTGTAGGACCCAGAATGAGTCTAAAGACCCAGAATGAGCCTGTAGGACCCAGAATGAGTCTAAAGACCCAGAATGAGTCTATAGGACCCAGAATGAGTCTAAAGACCCAGAATGAGCCTGTAAGACCCAGAATGAGTCTAAAGACCCAGAATGAGTCTTTAAGACCCAGAATGAGTCTAAAGACCCAGAATGAGCCTGTAGGACCCAGAATGAGTCAGTAGGACCCAGAATGAGCCTGTAGGACCCAGAATACTTAAGAGCTAAACTAGGAAGACTTGTGGTGGAGCTTTGGTTGGAGCTTTTTCCAGAACGGGTCAGCAGATCCCAGCAGGTAGGTGGGAGCTGCTGGTAGCAGCTGGATTCCCCAAACATCAGACTGGGAGGGGTTGGGAGGGACTAGGGATCACTGGAGGAGGATGAGGGGCAGCAGAGGTGAAGCACATCTTGAGGAAAACGCTTACAAAGCTTCAGTCAAACCCAGAAACTTGAAGAAATGTGTCAAGTGGCCGTAAAGCACCAGAAAGTTCCCCATAAATCACCTAAAGGACGGAAACCGGCTCCCTCAGACAGGAGGAAGCCGCTGCAGCTGGATGGCTGCAGTGCCCCCCTCTGCCACCAGAGGGAGTCTGACAGCCTGTCAGCCAGTTTGACGGACCAATCAGAGGCCTGGATGCAGGAACTAACGAGGAGACGCGAACCACATGAACCACGTGACCTCTAAAATGTACAGTTGTAGCTGCGTTAAAAGTCAAAGTAAAGACATCCACAGTTTCTGCGACCCCGAAACCATCATGGAAGAGTATCATGTTATACTTATGTGTTTATGTGTTTTTGCGTTTGGCAGAGGCTTTTATCCAAAGCGACTTACAGAGTAGACCCAATATTACATTTCTCATCACTATGACAATAAGCTATCCAGAGGAGAAACCCTGATCAGAGTCCGGGTTAGGATTAGGATAGGAGATGCTGTCCAAAATCCCTGGAGCTGGACATTAGTTGGCCTCTTTCAAAATCTCTTTAGAAATGTTCTAATTCCCAGACTTATATTTCTCCCTTTCCCGTCACAAATTTTGGCGCCTAAATAGTCCCGCATGATTTGACAGATCGGGCCCAGAAAAGACACACGTGTACATACCGAGCACGGGACGTGTGCTGGTATTTCTCTCTCTCGTTAGTCCTGGCGTTTTCTAACAACTGGTGATAAGGTGAGAAAGGCGAAAAAAGTGAAAAAGGCGAAAAAGGTGAAAAGGTGAAACGTTGTCCCATAAGAAATCAATGGGAAGGCCCAAAAACAAGCCCAAAGCATGGGATGCTTCCGCGCCTAATCGCTCAGCCCCACCACCTCATTCGAAGATGATACGGGCCGCGAGAGATGGGCCTCGGACATGTGGTTAGGGGGCTCTGATTGGTCGGTAACTCCCTGTCAGAGTGGTTTTGGTCACAGCTCTGAAGTGAGTCAGGTGACGGGAGCTGAGAGGTGAAATGTCTTCCAGCAAACCTCCAGTTGCCTGAACTGCATTTTCAAGCTTCACAGATTTGTTCAAAAAACAGTAAAAGGCTGCATCAATTTATTTTTATTTATTTTCCTAGGATGAAAAGACAGCTCAGGTTGTTGAACAGGAACATTGTGGTGTGTCTCTCAGTGGAAACTATCTGGAGAATGCTGTGAGGACCGGTTGAACCTGTCGGTTGATGAAACTGCTCTAAACCAATCAGTTTGTTCTTTTCTGGATGAATGACTGCAAAGTTTCAACAAACAGAAGCTAGCGGCCTCCTGATTGGGGCTCGTCTGGAACGGACAAGTTTCATGTTAAACTTGTTAAAATCCAGAGATGTTCAGTAACGAAGTAGAGCTACTTAAGTACCAAAACGCAGTATCTGTAGCGAGCAGGGCCCACATCCAGGAACTTTTCAAGAAGACGCCGACATGAGTGGTAGGTCAGAGGGTCCTGGTCTGGTTAGTGGTCAGTGGAAAGCTCCGCCCCCCTCTACACCCGAGTGTCCAGGACATGGAGCCGCAGGTCAGATGAAAGGACAACACAGTCGATCATTGAACTGCGGCCTGGGGAATGCAGGAAAATGACAACCAGAACCATTTAAAAAAAGAAATGTTTGTACTTTATTTGAATGATTAATGACCACTCACACTGATTCAGTAACAGAACAAAACATAAAAACACAGAAAAACTTAATTAACAGCTTCAGTCAGGGATGAAAAACCCTCATGGGGCAGCAGGAGGCTGTTGGAGGCCCAGCCCCCAGAGGAAACCCCAGCTGACCGTCAGAGGACTGAAGGGCGTCTGGATCCAGACCAAATGGAGGAAACGACTCCAAAAAAGTTCTGAGACGGGGCTCTAATCAGCTCTGAGCTGTTTGGGGGGTCAGAGTCAGAGGCTCCTGAAATGAAACCACTAAGAAAACTGAGAGGAGCTGAACACAGTCCAGTTCTGTTTGGGGTTTCTACACGCTTATTTGGTCTGAGGAGCAGAAACAGGATGATAACTCAGACCGGCTTTGGTTCTGTTTGGTCCACCGGATGATGCTGCGAGTTCCTCTGTAAACAGGCACGTTTTTTGTAACAGATCCAAGCAGCAACACCAAAAACACAGAGGAGAGAAACTACTGTAAGGCCAACGGTCAGACCCAGAGATCCTCCTCCCTCCTTGTCTCCTCTCTCCTGGGTCCCTGCAGGAGAGAAGCAGGTGTGAGTGTCAGCAGCTGAAGAACAACAGAATCCATTTCCTCTCCAAACTGCTGTCCCACATGATCTCCTGCACTCTGATCACTGCACTCAGACCAGCTGCTTTCTACAGAGTCTCATCAGCAGCATCTTTACACCCCAAA